TGTTAGAGATTTCAATAAATACAATTGTTTTTGTACCAAAGTCTCATTTTTTCCCCATATTTGGTGTTTTGTTTCTCTTTGAAATATCTTCATTAAGGCATTCTTTGTATAATTTTTTGTTATGTTAAAGTGTGCTAAAAATACTCATTTAGGGCTGATCTCAGTTTGTACTAGTCAGATGTTTGAGACATTCCTGTCTAATCATTTCCTATGTGTTTCCTCACAGGAGATTAAATAATTTTTGGTGAATCAATCCATCTTTTTGCCATTGAGATGACTGCCCATAAAGGCACAAAAGATGATTAGTTGTTGAAATGATAAACATTTACAAATAACGAATAGTTGATTTATAAATAAAAAAAAGCACAACAAATGAAGACCACATGTATAACCTTTATGTGGTTATGAGTTAATGTTTATGTGAATAGTGTGTGAAGTGCTTAAAGTGTCTAATTAAATCATTTTTTCCACAACATTTGCAAATGTGTAAAAGTGCAAAATATATGAATCAAAGTTTAATAAGATGTGTTAGCTTTTTATTTACATTAAATAACGATATGTTAATCATGTATTCTTTAATGAGCTTATTTAAACATTAACAAGCATGTTATCTCATAGCTATTTGAATATATATAGGCTATATATATATAGCTAATGATCTGTTAAGTATTATATAATGTTTGTTAATAATTTATTTATTTGTATTATTTTATTTATAACAGTTTTCATACAAACACAAAACAGATCAAAGTCTCACAAAATGTATACAAAAAGTATGTTATACATAAAATAAACAAAGGGGGAAAAAAGACCCCACACCCCAACCCACACCAGATACAGTGAAAAATATACACCTTAAAGCCATACTTAATCAAACTTAAACAAAAAGTCACTAACTGTTTGGCCATAGGGGGTTGATTGACCCAAAAGATAATGATCCGCAGCTGCTTAAACTCAGTAAAGGAATGTTTAATGTAGTGGCGCTCCTGTAAATATACAGTAAGAATTGTGATTGGAAAAAATCAAAGGTTTTATACAAGTGCTCGAAAGTGGCACATATGAAGTCCTTAACTACACTGTAAAAAATAAAATGCCATTTTTACGGTAAAATACCGGCAGCTGTGGTTGCCAGAACTTTACGTCAAAAATATGGTACAGACGTTATTGGTTTTACAGACTTGACTTAAAATTTACAGTAATAAACCGTATTTCATTATCTGATATAATGTTAATATACCAATCTATTTATGTATTAATATCTGTTTTGTTCCATTGTAATACACTGACAACCAGCAATCATCACAGCAGTGATTAAAGTCACATGATAAAGCAAAGCTCATCACAAGCAGCTCTTCCACAAGAAAGTTAATATAAATATAAAGAAGCTGCACAGTCTGATTCGCACAAACACTAAACAGCATCATGGTAACACATGAAATTTTAAAAATGCAATAAACATTAATTTAACAACATTAAATGTAACATAAAACTCTAATGTACATAACTGATAAGAAAAGAACTAAGAAGAAACATAGTTATTTCAACAAAAATACATCAAATGTGAAGTGTCACGCAGGGAATTGTGGGAATGTCAATTTACGTTTTTCACTGTAAATTATACAATGAGTTGTTCTTTTTCACTTTCAAAAACTGTCAATTTAACGGTATTTTACAGTAAAATTACATTAAATGTATACCGTTAGATCTATCACAGTTATTTACCGTATATAGTAAGGAAACTTTTTGTTAACCAATTAACAGTTTTTCACTGTAGCATTTGTACAGTCTTTTTTTACCGTTAAAATCACAATCATTTTTTACAGTGTATGGTCAGTCCTTTGCCTCTCCACAGTGAAAACCTTATCTGACTGGCCAGGCAAAAAAATATGATTATCACAAATGGGCTGAAGCACTGAAGGACGTGTAAAATTCAAAACAGTCTTCAATTGATTTAAAATTCTAATGGTATTGAGCACAACTAAAGTTTTACATTGTGACTTATTTAAAGATACAGGGTTCGAGAAAAGAATAGCAGCAAGGGGGCTACTACCAACAACTGACCGAGCCTCCATGTACAGCACTTGGGTTGGGTGTCCATCAAGTTATTATCGGCAGCTTGATCACTAACCCACCAGAACATCATAGCCCTGCATTAGCAGCCTAATAATAATGATGGAAAACAGGTATAGCGCTAGACCACCCAACTCTTTCGGCTTCTGCAAATGGGCCTTAGAAATTTGATGTGCTTTATAACCCCAAATAAATGGCAAAATTACAGATTCTAATTGTTTAAAAACAAGATTGTGGCAAATATATAAGCAGGTTCTGAAAAAGATAAACAAAGCGAGTCAGAGCGACCATTTTATTAGCACTGACCCGACCAATTAAAGATAACGGAAGCACCCTCCATTTATCAATAGATATTTTTAACTTATTTATGGCTTCTGTGAAATTTATACTGAAAATTGATTTAATATTTTTAGGAATAACTAACCCTAAATAAGTGAAGTGGTCCTCTGTTATTCTAAAAGGATAGACCTCAGAAACTGAGCATCCAACCCTTCACCCAAGGGCATGAATACACTCTGCTCCCAATTAACAGAATAACCAGAAAAACAGCCAAAAACCTCAAGTGATTCGGTTAATGATTTATTAATAAAGCTTTTAATCATTGTGAACTATCTGTTAAAATCATTTCTAGATTGTTTAAAAAGTGCATGATCATATGAATTGAAAGTTTATAGACATTTCAATGTAGGCCATTAAATCTGTTAATCTGCCATTTTTAATTAATTCATCAGTAAACATTAACAAGCACATTATCTCATATTTCTATCTACATGCTATTAACTAATGATCTGTTAAGCATTATATAATGTTTGTTAATGATTTATTAATGAAAGTTAATAAAAAGTGTTACCAAAAAAGGATTTTGCTGTACTAGACTAACTGGGACTTGTCACATGACTTACAAAATGTTGCCATTTTGTTGGTTTGACTGCTTATTGTTCTCCTCATTTGTAAGTCACTTGGGATAAAAGCGTCTGCTAAATGATTAAATGTAAATGCTTATGCTATATAATGATTTCTCTTTTCTTTGCTTGTGCTGATTTCCTTTCACTGTATTTGTGGACTTCATCTTTCCTCCTTTTTAACCCTTGTATTATTCACTTGTGTAATCAATCAGACAACAGATTACAAACGACAGATTACAGCAGCCAGTTTTGTGTGATGCACAGAACAAACCATGGCTAAAACTTGCACAAGTGCAAACAGTCTCATACATTTTTTATACAAAGTACCCACAATTATTTTCTACAAAAGCCACCAATTCAAACCTCTGCACTCTCCTAAAGTATCGGCCTTTCTTTTCCACGGTCTAGATATTCTGTCAAATTATTCAAAAGAAACTGTTCTTGTATGTAAGGGGGTGGTTGTAACACTTTTTAAAGATGTGTTACAACCCCCCTGTCAGCCAGTGTTTAGCTAGCCATATTAGCATATTGGTTTGAGATTAGCAAGTTAAAAATGCATCACATTTTACCTGAGAAACTACAATTTTATTTAATATAAGTTAAATGAACAAAATACTAAACAAAATAGTTTTAGTAAAACATGTTTTACATACCTAAAAACATTCATATGGGATTTGGGAGGAAGTGGGTAAACATTGAAATGATTATAGGGGTCCTAGCTTATCCCTGGCTGTTGGAATTTGTGGTTACAACTTGTTACAACCATACCTGGTCTCCTATCTTTAAAGCATATCTATCTGCTTTTCTCTAAATGAACTCCGGATTTATTCTAAGTAAGAATGATGCTTTACACACACCAACTGAACCTTCCTACTACTCATTTAACAATCAATAGTTCTGAAAGAAGCAAACAGTGCAAAAAAAAAAAAATGCTTTCACTATTCCTTAATCTCTCCCTGTTCTTGTACTATTCTAAACAATGTCTGAAACTTTGTATTACCTGCAGTTCTTGCGTTTATGGCCACTTTATGATGAATCGCTTGTTGTATTCCTCATGTGTAAGTGGCTTTGTATAGTGTCTGCTAAATGAATCGATGTATATGTCTGTAATTAAAGCACCTCTAATAATGCACCACAACTAAACAAATATGCTGTATACCTGCTTAATATACTTCCTGAAGCTAACTATAAATAGACATCATTAGTGTATTTTACAAAGAATGATTTGCATGTATAACGTGTATATTCCATACTGTTTTGGTTTTGCTTTCAAACTGTTTGCTCTGTTCCCTGTGTTCTGTTTGCCTGTGTTCATAATTAGTTCAGGGTTACTCATTCACTCTCTTGTTGCTGATTAATAATTGATTATTAGATTCTGTTCAAGCTCATGGACACTTTACAATAACAGTAATGAACAAACAGTCAGTTCAAACCACATAATAAATTGACAGTAGACATTTGCCCAGTCCATGAGCGATTGCAGTTGCATATTGCATTCCAGTCGAATACAAACAAATATGAATTATATGATCAATAAGTTATGACATGTTTTAAGTCAGTTTGATGTAATTTAGGTTGAAATGACTCAAACATCCAAGTTGTTTTGAACTTAAAAATTGAAGGCAGCAACTTTTTTTTTTTTTTTTTACATATTCCATGTGTTTTGATGAAATTTTGGATTATGAAATAAAGACTATTTGAGTATTCTCCTTTGAAGGCTGGTCAAATCGCACGACGATGTGAAAGTATGTTTCCAGTACTCAAATGTATTAAAGCTGTAATTTGACAGCACATTAAAGTCCATCATGTCAACAATTTGAACGTCTTATGCAACCAACATCTCAAAATATTCACTTTATTTACTTGTCTTTTATTGCTTATTAAAACAAAATGAAATATCACTTTGCTCAACACATCTGAGTTCAAAGGTCAAAGGTCTGCCTGTTTGACCTCTCAGGTTAAATAACCACAGATCCATGTGTTTTCATGTAAAGTTTAATAAAAATAAAAAAACAGACTAATAAATAGGTTTTAGTACTGCTTCATTTAATTTCTTGTTACACAGAAGTGTGTTATACCATATTTTACAGTCTGCATTTGCTTGTAGGCGTCTGGTCTGGTTCACCCTGGTTATTTTACCCAGGATAATCCAAAGGCACTGCAAAACTGTGCTTAAGATTACTTGTACTGTAACATTTACCTTATTACGAGGTAAGAATCATCGCTAGTAGAACAAAACACAAAATAGTATCCGAACAGCAGTGTTAGAATACTTCCCATGTGTCTTATTCCAGGAATGTTTATTTGTTAAGATAACAGTTTGTAATGGTCACAAATGCTTCTTGGCACACTATGTGCTGTAAACCTGCAGCTATGTGTCATTACATAATCACTGTGCTTCATGAATTTGCATGTTATCATTTAAAAAAAATACATTTAAGACATTTTGAAAGCAATGATGTCAGTAAAACCCTTCTAAAGGGTTGAAACCATTAAGGTCCATCCAGATTCATAATTACTTTAAGATGAGCTGGACAATTAAAGTATCCTGTATATTCACAGTATATAACTACATATGGATAAGTAATTACTATTTATATTTTATAAAACCGTCTTAATTCATCTTTTTCTTCTTGAGTCCATTAGAGTTCGGGTGCTTTGGAATTGTGCTTTTTCCTGAAATGGCTGGGATCACTTTGTCAAAAAGAAGCAGAGAGCCTGTCATACCTGTAATGACACAAAAAGAGTGGAAAACCAGCATGAACCTCTGAATATACACAGAGAACTGTACATTATTTGCTGTTATTAACAAATTTACTATAATAGTGAACATCCATGGGCTGTATGTGAGATCTGTATGTTGTAGGTTTGGTTTGAGAGTATATAAACATTTAGAAAGTATTCTTAAACATGCTGCAGTTTTAGTTTTTCATGAGTATCATGCAAATGTGTTTTTATTCTAGCACTAATATAAAGACATTTTGGTCACACTTTACAATAAGGTTCATTAGTTAATGTATTAACTAACATGAACTAACAATGAGCAATACATTTGTAACAGTATTTGTTTATCTTTGTTAATGTTAGTTAATCAAAATAGTTGTTCATTGTTTGTTCATGTTAGTTTAGAGTGCATTAACTAATGTTATTACATGGCTTGGTTGAAATCTAATCTAGAATTGCGTCTGTTATTTCTTGATAACAGACCGCTGCTAAGTATAACACACCGTTGCCATGAAAAACAGAGCGTTGCCATGGATACAGTTATGTTCACTCTGGAGCAATACAATCGTTTTTCTTTCAATAAACTCCTTTTTAAATCAATATTTTGTGTCAAATTATTAACAACTTACTTAACAAATAAAACCTTTGATTTTAATAACGTATTAGTAAATGTTGAAATTAATATTAACTAAGATTAATAAATGCTGAAGAAGTATTGTTCATTCTTAGTTCATGTTAACTAAGGTAGTTAACTAATGAACCTTATTGTAAAGTGTTACACATTTTAATGTTTTGTCTTGTGTTGTGAAGTGTTTGACAGGATACACTTTTTTTTCTACCAAATACACAATTTGATCAGTTCCCAGATAGCACAAGTCTATTTGATGTGATGTTTACATCTGGAAGACGTATTTTTAAGAGTGTTTGCTCATCTGCAATACGTCTATAGGACGTTTCCTGTCAGATGTCAAATAGACGTTTAGAAGATGTCAGTTTAACATGCATTCTAAATCATTACATCTTAAAGACATCTTCTAAACGTCTATTTGACATCTGACAGGAAACGTCCTATAGACGTATTGCAGATGAGCAAACACTCTTAAAAATACGTCTTCCAGATGTAAACACCACATCAAATAGACTTGTGCTATCTGGGAACAGTATCAAAATAATAAAAACATTTTTTAAATGGATCTGGCCTTTAAAAGGTCAAAGTATGTAATGTTGTAATCATGCTCACCTAATATTGGTCCCATCCAGTACACAAAACCGTACTCTGCAAAAGTGTTTCCAGGACAGGGGAACTGTATTGAGAATGCCAGTGCTGGGTTGAACACAGCTCCGGTGAGGTGTCCACCTTTACAAAACACAGTAGCTTCCTGAACACAGTTGCACTGCAATTAACAGCATATGAATGTTACTGAAATATCACTAGACAAGATCTGCATTCTTTAAAGAACAGACAGAGACAGACAGACAGACAGACAGACAGACAGATAGATGGATGACTTTGATTTGACAATAAAAACACTTGCACTGGTCATACAGTACTGTGGTGGTCCTGAATAATTATTATATTTGAACCATGGTACCACTGTGGAATTTTGGATTAGTGCACACACCCGCATAGACTAAAGTGGTGATGACAGCAGCTATTGCGTGAACCCGATATTTCTCCTCCACTTTGTCCAGGTTGGACACCGCAGAGTGCATCAAAAACGCGCAGCTCAGCTCCACCGCGGCGGCCTGTAGCAGAGGGGCATTAATGGGGCTGTTCGTGCATTTAAAGTCCATCAATGTGTGCAGTTCATGCAGGTCTGAGAGCGCCAGTGACCACAGGCGAGGCATCACTAGCCGTGCCACCACAGCCGCGAGCAGCTGGCATGAGATCTGTGCCAATGCGCGTCTGCGCGTGAGAGTCCCGCGGTAGAGCTGCTCCAGAGAGCCGGTGGGGTTACAGATCGCACCGTGGAAAGAAAGCACGTGGATCACCGAGATGAGGTACGTGAGGGTCAGTCCGATCTGCGGCTCCAGTCTGCCCACTTCCGCGAGCAGCTTTAACTCGTGCGTGCACGCGCACAACTGAAAAGTGGAAATAAACTCCAGCACATAGGTGATCCAGTTACGATTTGGGAATAGATATGAAGCTGTCCTTCTCGCCACCTCGCTAAGAACTACAATTCCCACCAGTAAGGCCAGAGAGACGGTGAGATAGGCCATCTCTCTCTGTCAGCTCCGTCCGGCCTCGCTACGAATAATCCTGCAAAACTCTAATCCTGTCAGGCAACTTTAGTATGGAGCGGTTCCGCCTTTGCGCCATTTACCCCCGCCTACTACAATTCAATCTGTGCAGCTGCTATGGCAAAATACTTGACTCATGAATATTAAATAGTTGCTTCCGGGAGTGCGCAAGCACGTAACCTCATTCATATTAATGATCCAACTTTTATCGTAACAGCGATTCGGGATTTCGTCAGCTGACTAGCGCCCACGTTAGAACGTCTTGTTACGTAAAAATATGCACGACTCAATCCTCTACCGTAGTAGGATTTGAAAAGAACATCGTCCGGTGTTGCCAGAGGTTACCAGAATAAACTCTGCAAGATAAATAAATCTGACCAGAAATTAACAAATAGACTCCCCCAAATCACTGCATGCCCGTTTAATCCAACAGAATAGTATACTGTTGAGACGGGCAGTTTTAACTTAAGCTTCTTTATAATAATATAATAAAGCTATATGGTTGAGGTTAAGAGTGAGGAGGTGCTCAGAGGGGTGCAGTGGAGTATGATCAGTGGTGCAATAGTCCAACTGACTTGTGAAGCCGTTATATAATATATAGGCTATAATATATAGGCTACCGTATATAAATATAAATCAGTGCTTGAAGTGGGGAAAAGGTGCCGGTGTCCCCGGGGATGGTTTGTTGGAGGGACGTAGTTTTGGTTTGAACATTGAAATGTGAACCGTTTAACAGGGTCCCACCCATGGTCCCTCATGCGGTTTATTTGTTTTTGCAAAAGGGCCTTTTTGGTATCATCTACACATGCAAAGTTGGCCATGGGAAGTCAAACTATCTTTTTCTTATACTGAAAATGTTAATTTCCTGCATCTCTTGGAATATCTGAATGCCAGGTCTTTCCTATATCTGTCATTATTATCAGAACACATTTTACATGGGGAAAACCAATTGTTTTGGTCTATAATTTATTAATTTAAGAAGGTCCATACTTTAAAGCTCTTGATTCTAACTTGTCCTTGAAAAGTATAGCATAGGCTAGTTCTTGTAGGCTAATTGTTTAACTATTGCATTTGTTTCAATAAGGATGTAATTACAGCCCAATTCGACATCGAAAAATGCTACCAAATTGTGCTACCAGCATATTCATGTTGTTTGAGTCTTTATTAACGTCCATATCTTCCCCTACCCCTACCCTTCTCCCTCTCTCTCTCTCTGACAGCGAGTGAGTTGTCTCACAAACCCGCCTCTCCTCACTCACTCGTTTCATTTGCTCAATATTGTTGCTGTTCCAGGGCTTGAATTTCAGCGTGGGATTGCGCTTATTGCGCATAAATTTACTCATTCACGCAGATTATGAGCTCACAAGTGCACATATTTTTGGCCGAACTGCCTCTAAATGGAGTTCGTTTTTGCTGCCTATTGTGGCTAAAGAGTCAAATACACACAAATTGGCTTTGCAATTAGAGGCCCGTTTCAAAGAAACAGTTGGAGCCCCCACATGGAGACACTCAATGGCTCTGTGGATTTGTTTGGAACTATTTTTGTTGGTAAAATAGTGCAAAAACAGACAAAGTTCTAAGACTAAAATAAAGGTCACCTAACATTAACTTCTTGTTTATTGAACTGTTGAATGAAATCAATAAGCTATCACATTTGCAATTGTGCTGATATTCGGGAAAACAGCACTCTATAGAGGGGTTTCACCAACGTCACGTTCTGGGCGGTAACCCGGATGCGCGGCCATTATGGAGGCACTCGGATGTAAACAACAGCATGGATTGCACTGTTCATGTACTACTGAACACATTGTTACACTAATAAACCACGGAAAAACACGTGGTAGGTGCGAAATCATATAGAGAAGGACTTGGGAAGCAGGACAGAGCGAAACATTTTGACAAACTAAAGTTAATATGTTTTATGTGGTCACATTATGTGGTAGCTGCTAAAGATCCGAACGAGTTAGCTTCTCTAGCACGTAACATTACTGCAATTCTTCCATCTATTTATTATCCCGAAATAAGATACGTTCAGATTGTCAGTCCAAAAAAGCACATGAAATTCGTTTCAAGTTACATCCATATGTGGTTTGAAATCCTATTCAAATCACATATCAGGACATCAGCCTCAGTCTGAACGCTCGGATTTCGCGTGGTATGTCTTAAAATGCAAACGTAATTTATAGGAAACATGCTGAAAGTCACTGCCGAAACAATGCTGTGTTGTTGCAAAGTGCCGGACGAGCAGAAAAATATTATTTCTGAAACCGGCGCAGACGAGCGTGGGAAAAAAGCAGTAGCTAACGTTATATACCAGCCTCCTACAGTTCTGCCGTAGTAGTCCAGCGCGGCGGCTACACATTTCCATGTTGTAACATTTAAAAAAGACAACATCTAACATTATATTGCAAATGCAACCCCTCCATCAACGCAAAGTCATTGCCATATTACCAAATAACATGCATGGACACACACGTCGGATCTGAACAGTTGCGATACACAGTGTGGACATCATTTTAGATCAGATTCCAATTTGATACAAAGATAATCGGATTTGGACTGACAGTGTGAATGTAGCCATAGTTAACATTAACTGCGTCGACATTTTAGCCATAGTCAACGCTTCATTTACATGTGTCTGATGCTGTACCTCTCTCAACCACAAACGCCTTCTTTCATCAGTTTTTTGCACTCTTCTCTTTAACTTTTGACAGTCTATAGCACTCGACATGTTTTTTCCCGATGTGACCGATTGGTACAGACAAAAACTCGACCATTTTTCAGCAGCAATAATCAGCCAAATTTGCGAGTCCATTCAGTTCAGTGGCATTATTCACGTTCTGTGACTTCCGGATTGATGACGCGTCGTGAAACCCCTCTATGGCCTGTTCTAAATGAGCTCATACAAGGACATTTTTTACCCATATCTTGAATTTTGGGGGCATTTTTTATTAATTTTAGTGGCATTTTTGCCCCTAGCCCCCATTCATTTTTGTGAATTGCAGGGAGCAGGGCTCTTTTTTGAGTGCAAGCGCGGAGGCCCCTACTGTTGTGAGGCCCGTTTCAGGTGAAACATGTGAAACGTAAGCCGCGTTTCCACCGCAATTGCCCGGAACAATTTGTCCCAGGAACTTTTTTCCCAGGAACTTTTTTTGCCCCAGACCGGTAGCTTTCTGCGTTTACATCGCGGTCTAAAGTACCGGGTAAACTGCGCGCGACTGCTCATTGCTTGCTTGTGACGGACAGTAGACTGTAAAAGACAGTAATCAGTTTTGAGCGCCACATTTATAATAAATATGGAAGAGATTCACACTGTGCTGCAGTTGTTTGAGATGTATTGGTTTACTAACCAGGTAATTAACAAAACGGCAGAAAAGAGACGAGCACTGATACTAAAGCGTGTTCAGAAAGCTCGTAATGCTAACGTTAGATCTAAAATTAGACAGCGTATGTTATCAGCTATTGCGGACATTGACCGTGAGAAGGCTGGGACGAACGCGCAGAAAATTTCTCTTCCGCAAATACGCTTAATAAAGCCTGAATCTCGTCGTCGGTCCAGCTGCCTTTTTTATTTTTATTAAATTCCATATTTGCAGACAGACAACTCTTACTGCATGGAACTTCATTACTGCATGAAGCCACGAACTGCAATAGATTCTAAAAATTCCGGTTAAAATAAAATGCTGCGCGGAGTTATCCAATCATAATGCGGCGTGAACACAACCAATCAGCATGTTCAGCGCACAAGCCCCACCCGCGAAAGTTCCTGAACTTTGAAAAAGTACTACCTCGCGAGCAGGGACTTTCGGAGGGGGAAATATCTACCCGGAACTTCATTTAGACCCTGGTTCCTGCGGTGTAAACACACCGAGTACCAGGCCAAAGTTCCTAGTTCCTGGGTAAAGTTCCTGCGGTGGAAACGCGGCTGTAGTATTGCGTCGAAGGTTTGGACTCAATCGCAGCTTTTCTGTGGCCAAGGACCGCCCAAGAGGACGTTTGACTGACATGTAACGCAAACAATTACAGTTCATTTTGTTCCGTGGCATGTTTAGGGGCGTGTAAAAATATAATGTTGATGTCGCTACAATAACAGCGTGCACCTAATAAATTATTAATTCAAGAACGTGCAAGTTTACTGCAACAATGGAGCCGCGAACTTCACATACTTTTGAAAATCCAGCGTTTAGTTGATCCTGGTAAGCGCTCATTGTCACAGTTGTAAAAACGACGGCGTTATTCTCCAACGAGGGGTTTTGGCGTCATGGCATTTGTTTCCAGGCCGACTGCTAAAGAACAGAGACGCAAAGAATTCCTGTAGAGTTCAACCATTCAAATCGCAACTTCGAAACTCCTGAAGTTTTTCCAGAAAAGTGTGGCTGTTGTCTATTTGGTAGTTCTCCCCGTTAAATATCGATGGTCAAGCCCTAAATATAATATAATATAATATAATATATGAGCAATATCACACAAGTAGCAGTGCGATATGGCTGTATATCAGCACGGCCGTGATTCATACATTCTCTTTTTTGAGGACCAAGTATTAAATTTCTGGTTTTAGTTCATTTTGAGAGAATATTTGGGGGATGATTGCAAAAATGTCTATGTGGTGTAATCGTCAAAATGTTGTAGATGATCTTGTTTAAAAAAGGTGAAATTCTCAATAAAACACCATATCAGCTAGTTTGGCATAATCTTACAACTATGTAACAGTAAATAAAAGTAAATGGACACCATTGTTCTGAATATTATAATTAATTTGGGGAATCATGTGAGTCAAGTCAAATTCCTGAAGTGTCAAGGTGGTGTAACCACCATTCAAGGAGTCTTTTGGTAAATATTGTGTAAGAAGACCATGTGACAGGGACGGACCCCTGTGAAACTAACTGCTGCATGCAAATGTTATTAAAGGTGCTCTAAGCGATGTCATGTGTTTTTTAGGCCAAAACATTTTTTGTCACATACAGCAAACATCTCCTCACTATCCGCTGGCTGCCTGTCCCCTGAACACACTGTAAAGAAACGCGATCTCTGTAGACAGCCCATGCTTCACAAACAGCACCAAAAACAAACTGCAGCGACCCGCTCCCCAAAACATAACAAACTGTTCCAGCCAATGACCGACAAGAAGGGTTTGGGGGTGTGGTTTGGGGGGTTAGTGTGCGGATGAGGAGGAGGGAGGGTCTAGCTAGCCTCCGTTTTGTTTGACAATAGTTCGAACGTCAACAAGAAGTGACGTCACCCAGGATCGCTTAGAGAACCTTTAACTCTCTTTAAAATGTGAGGTAATTTGACAATTTTAAGGTATGGTTAGGTATTCTTAAGTATGTCAAATGGTGTGACCCCGGAAATACATTGATAATTCATCATTATCATAAAAATGATTATTAACTTTAAAAATTACATTTTAAATATTACAACCAAGGCCACATGATTACTTAAGTGTCCATGATAATGCCTGTCAAATTTGATTTTAAACTGAAATGTTAATGGTATAACCAGTTATTGACTTCTGTTACAAGCCTTTCTGTTTGGAACTCTTTTCAAGTGTTCAATGTAACCAATGTAACCTCAATGGTTCTTGTGGAAGCTCAAACGTGCGTGAATGAACCTCGTTGGTTCTTGCAGAAGCTCAAACGTGCTGTGTAACACCAGAATGAACCTCACTGGTTCTTGCTGAAGCGCAAACGTGCTGTAAGTTAACACGAGAATGAACCCCATTGGTTCTCGCTGAAGCTCAAACTTGCTGCGTAACACGAGAATGAACCATATTAGCTCTTTTCAGGTTTTTTTTTTTTCAGCATTGACAAAAATAAAACCAATTCTGCTGAACTTGTTGACTGTCATGCTTGATTTTCAGTCACAATTTCTTCAACAAACAATGGCCTTTGACTCTAGAAGCAACAATCAATTGGCTTTTGTCAATTGGCGTAACCAGTATTTTAATTATATACAGGACAATTAATGTGGACTAAAGTGTAATACCGGTAATGTAGTTTAGTGTAATAATAACATGGTATTTATTTTTACATAATTTGTCAAAGATTATTTAGAAAACAGAGCTGTTTTCAGCATACATGCTGAACATACATACATATGTCCTGCCAAATATTGTAAACACGACTTCCCACCTCGTAAATACGAACTTGCCAGGAGGACTTGAAAGCACCATTGAAGCTTATAGAGTAGAGTATTATGAGAGATCGAGTGTAGCTGCATTTACAGTATATAGCATTTTCCTTCAGGTCAGTCCTATATTCATAATAAAAACTCAGTTTAAACGTCCGCAGCGATATCTTGTCCTCTTAACGGGGTTTTCCCGTGCCCTGACAGGCTAATGTCAGTTGGGTGGGTCTTGCTTCGTGTTTACAACAAGTTCAGTCCTTTCAATATAAAAGTCTTCTCTACTGACTGGCTCACTCATAAAAACCGTCTTTGCCGCCATCTAATGGCGAAATAGTGTAACTTATGTTGCTGTTTACGGTCAGGAACTATTTCCAGCGGAAGGAAGGCTTTTAGTGATTTTACTTCATGAAAGTGGCATATTTGGATTTAATATTTGTATTGCGTGGTAACCGTTTTATAAAAGCAATCGACTAAACGAGTGTATTAACTGCATCAGATAGCATTCATTCTTCAGGTTGATATCCATATTATATCCCAAAAAACAAACAAAAAAACAGTTAGAATGTCCGCTGAGGAAAACGATATGTTCCTCTTTCAACTTCCTTGTTCTGACTCACTTATAAAGACAGTCTTTAGTTTACCGCCATCTAATGCCGTAATAATGTAACTTTCACCGAAGTCCATATCATGTCCATAACACGACCCTTTCTCAATACCATACGGCGTAATATTTATTGAACAACAATATTTAAATTAACAACAATAGCCATTATAAAAGACAATAGGAAATAAACACAAGCAAACAGTTCAGTCAAACAGATTGTAAAATTTTATATTATTTTATATAGTCACATTTGAAGTCTAAATAACTACACAAAAAACAACAGTAGTATTTTTGAAAATGCAATGACAGTCTGCGAAGGAACTGTTGTATAAAATATAATGTAATATAACATAATGTAAAATATAATATAATGTAGGCCTATATAAAAAAATATATAATCAGGCAACATTCTTTATTAGATTTGAATAGATTTTTTAAAAATCCCAAACCAATGTGTGACTAATAATATAAATGAACCCATGGCTTTCCAGAGTGATGCTGGTGGAGAGAGTAAAGTCATATTGGAACATGTTTTTGAGTCAATAAGACATGATGATCAGGGGCAAAACTGAAAAAGTCTGTATGGGCCGGATGAGAGACTTTAGCTATATGGGTTTTGTTTGTTATTTATGCCTTAAAAATATTGAAATAAATTAAAACAGTTAAATACACAAATACAGACATATGAAGAACCAAACCAACCAACAGTTTTCATGATTCATTATAATTTTGGTATTAGGAACTAAATGCTAATAAATCTAAATAGTTAATTTGGCTATTTTGATGAGTTTATTTGTATGATATTACATACATTATCCATAATAATAATAATAAAACCCTATTTACTAAACATAGGTGCATTGAGTTCACCTTGTTTTGACTAGTAGCCTGTTAACTGTTAATTACCTGCAGAGGGCGCTGAAATACTTAATAATGGGGTTTCGCATGACATCATTGGAGAGTAACCTAGTAATTTGATCAGATAAATGCAAAGCCAACAACAAATTATTTTTCTACGTGTACAAGCCAGAATTAACTCATATCCTAGCTTACATTTAATACTTTGTCTAAACTAGTGCATACCACATTTAGACAATCCCATAGGCTAAATCTATCTATCTATCTATCTATCTATCTATCTATCTATCTATCTATCTATCTATCTATCTATCTATCTATCTATCTATCTATCTATCTATCTATCTATCTATCTATCTATCTATCTATCTGTCTGTCTGTCTGTCTGTCTGTCTGTCTGTCTGTCTATAGGCCAAATCTTTTCTATTTCATATCCAAATATCTCGAGTTTGTATGATGAGATCAGCTCATCCTCCAGCACACATGTGGTGTGTTTAATATTGCATGTTCCTCCTCCACTGGTGCAGGTGACGCGTCTCGTGAGCGCAGCGCTGCGTGGGGAACTAATGACCACTGGGATCGCGCGTGGGCGGCGCTTCACGCAGCAGGTTTGTGTGTGTCTCTACAGCAGTGAGACAGACAGAAAAGACAGACAGGAGAAGACTGGAGCAAATGAGCACGGGGAGACACTGAATGCGTGACAGAGCGAGGGAGAGTCTGCTCGGGGAAAATCACAGTCGCGTCTTTGGACAGAGGTGAGTGCCGGTTGCTCTTTACTGCTGTCACGCGAGTCGCGTTCACCGGGATCTTGCGTGACGCGGAGACGCGCTGGCGGCGTGGGGCGCGTGTCTGTGGAGAACAGACAGAGAAAGCGCTGCTTATTCATTTCAGACAGCACAAGGATGTGGGTTTATCAGCAGGAATTGCTCGGATTATAGTGATTTTTCTCCTCGTTTATGTGGTTTGAGATCAAATAACACCGTCTGATCTCTGCTTTAGTTACATGTGCCTCCAGCAGCAGAAGGTATGCTTGCCTTATATTCAATCTAGCAACATCCAAATATATGCATGTTGGATAATAATAATAATTATAACAATATTTGTGTGATATTTATATTTCTCAACATATTATTTTATAAACAATTACAATATAAACGTTAAATAATACAGTAATAAATATTAATATATCTAAATGCATCAACATTATATATTTAATATAACTATATAGTGCTATCAATAATGTCTGTGTAATTTATATCAATGTGTATTTTGTATTTTTTTTTTACATGGGCTATAATACAATATGTAATAAAAACATAGCTATTTAATGTAATTAAATATAAAATATAAGTTCAATATGTACATAATAATAATGAATAGTAAATATAAATATTACACAATTAATTTTTGTGTTCTCATTTATGGGTTACTTTATGCATTTTATGTAAAACACTATATTGTTGGCTCTGATGAATTTCTTATGTTTCTCTATTGTAAGTGGCTTTGGATAAAATCGTCTGCTAAATGCATAAATATACATGTAAAAATAAGGGCCTAGTTGTCCAACAGTCTGATGTGCTCATTCACTGTTTACACTGTTGGGCGTGTAAGCAGCTCATGACTGTGTTCAGAGACTGGACAAGTGAGAAGTCCATCGTCCAAAAATACTACAAGATTGCTGGTGGAATGTATATTATATTTTGGAAAAGATTCTTTAAAGATTTTGGTAAGAAGATCCAAGAATCTGAAAGGATTCAGCTCTGGATGAACCAAAATTGGGAATCTCAGGTTCACCAGTGGGTGTTGGATTCTTATTGGATCCCTTGGATCGTTTCCAAATTATGATTTAAATACCATTAGCATTCCTTCAGGATTTTGAGAAAAGCCATGAACCTTGTCAGTGATCGAACTACATTGGGTTAGTTAGTTTGGCTTCTTTTGTCATTGGATAAAAATAAAATATACAGGCTCTTAATATGCTGAAGCTTTTACAAGTGTGTTTATTTAAAAGCATAAATTCAGAACGAAATCTTTAGGGTTATTGCAGTGGTGTTTCAGTATATTTGGTGGATCTGTTTGACATAATAGTATATGTGTAAGATAAGAGCAATGGTTCAGCTCACTTTGGACTGAATGGGGTCACATGGATCAGCAAAATCCTTAAAGCAGTTAAGTCAAGCGCGTGTTTCTTCCGGGATATTACACCAAGGTCTGATATCTGTAAAAGGCCTGTAGAAGAAGCTCTCATACATGCACTTTAAAGGTAACGAGGAAGTGGCAAACAGCACAAATTGATCATTCCAATGTTTCACTTCTGAACCAAAATATGAATCAACCAATTGGCTTTTGCAGTCTCGCTTCTAGTTTGTGGAGCACAGGGTTTTCATTCTCACAACGTTGTCGTCATCGTTTAATGAGTATTTTTAGCAGTGAGATGGCACCATTGTGTTGCATGTTTTGAGTGAGTTGAAATGCTCATCCAGTCTAATTTTGTCTAGGTGTGATGTAAGCATTTTTGCGTGTGGGACTCTAATTGCTTGAACGCGCATGCATGAAGTACCAGTGTCTGCAGATCTGTAGATAGTATCAAACCTATTCATTTATTGGGGTTGGGGAGCTGTCAGTGTGAAGTGGGGGTCGCTGATTCAGAAGTGAGCACACCCTTGGGCCACACGTCACCATATGGTTTCAGTAACACCCTGTTTATCATCCCAAAACATGGGACAAAAACACCCCAACCACCCCTCAAAGATGTGCATTTGGCCTAGAAGCACTGCTGTGACTTCATACTCATTGTTATGTGAGTGTGTCTGACTGTACTTTTTGATCTGACCAGCTTTGCAAAGGAATTTTACAGTTAGTTAGAGCAAATGATAAGCAAGAGATTTCTATAATCAGTAAATGTGTATTTTCTGTCTTTAGTTTTTAGTGCATCTCTCTGGGAAACTTGCATGTTATGGTGGAAGGATGATGTGGAAATTGTTCGTTGCAATCAGTTTCACAGCAACTAAGGTCAAATAACACACTTGTGGTGTTGTGTATAAAATTTGTGCAATTTTGATATAATTATGAGATTTGTATACCAAATCAGAATATGTGCATGCATGCACAGAAAGTTCCTCTATTTTAAAGTGCAGTATGTAATTTCTACACAAACCAACTTGATTTTATATTGTAGACTTCAGCAGAAAATGTAAATGCCGCTTACCAGTGCAAAATTCGTCATCACCATTATGCTAGGGTATTATGGTTGGTTGTGAAAATCGAAAGCTAATACCTTCAAGTTGCTATAAATGTTTTTAATACCTCTTTTTATTATTTAGGATGTACACTATCTTTCAAAAGTTTGGGGTCGGTACGGTATTTTAATGTTTTTGAAAAGTCTTTATGGAGCCGTTTACACGACACCGTTTTAAACTTAAAACGGAAAACATTTTATGCGTTTTGTCCGTTCATTTACATGACAACAGTGTTTTGGGGGCCTGAAAACGCAAAATTTGAAAACGGGTTTCAAAGTGCAAGTTTTTAAAAACAATACCATTTATTGTTTTGATGTAAAAAACGCGAATTTGTGAAAACGGTGACGTGATGCGCATGTGTATTACGTGTTTAGTCTATCGACACGTAGTGATTCTTTACAAAGTGATATCGCCAACTACAGGCCTGGCAGCATAATACAGCGTTTTTAGTCCTTTTTGCAAATCTGTGTGAACGGTAATCGATTTGACAATGTTATGTCTGTACGCAAAAAAAAAAGCAACGGAAAAACTTTTCTGTTTTTAGTACATCATTGTCAAGTAAACGTACCCTTATGCTCACCAAGGCTGCATGTATTTGATCAAATTGAAGTAAAAACTGTAATATTGTGAAATACAACAATTTAAAGTAACTATTTTCTTTTTGAGTATATTTTAAAGGCCCACTGAAGTGCCTTAAAACACGCAGCATTATTCAATGTGTTAATGTATTTTCCACTTAAACAGGAAGACAACGCATGACATATTGAGCTGCTCCTCCCCTTTTTAAAATGGACAATAGCGTTTCATTTATATCACAATTTGGCCAGAGCTTTTGAGCTCGGTAAAGCCGCATTTGACTGCTTATGACAGCCGTAGTCTAATAGATTCCCCTTTAATATTTAATATGAAGCAAAAAACAAAACATAAAGCAAAACAATGAATGTAACCGTACTGAGGATTAGTTTAAAAAGTGTGTAATTTATGTTGGTGCATACATAGCACCGGTGTGTAATCTCTTCTACTTGTCAGTGCTGTTTCTAATGCCAAGTCTGTCTAACCGCTTCTCCTAATCTCCTCCATATCGCTTTAAAATGTAGGATTCTGTGTAGAATTCAAATGGATCCGATTCGTTTTGTGGTCTGTGCGAACTTCATTTGCCCCAATGTAAAGCATATTTACACTGTCTGAATCATTCCCTATCCCCTATAGTGCACTATTCACCATTATAGAAAATAGTAATTGTATAAACAAGTGACCAATTTCAGTCTCAGCTGAGTCAGCTTTATAATGTGGTGGGTGGGATGGTTTAGATTAGAGAGCATTTGATTGGACAGAAAATCTGATAAGAACCTGAAGTGCAGAGTGATGTCATCTAAATTGTTGATCCATATTGGCGGAAGTGAGAGACGTAAACTTTGAACGCTTATATCTCCTAAATGCGAATTTTGTGAGTTGTTCAAAGCGTTTCTGTTGATTGTTAGAACACAGCCGCCTGACTCTGAGATGGCGAACGGGAACATGGTTTGTGTACTAACATTAGCAACACATTATTAGCTGTTTAATAACATAGTCAAGCAAAAGACTAAATATATTTATTACCGTAATGTGTCCGACGTTGTAGAGAGTGATACCATTGTGCAGCGTTTACCTCAGTAAGTTGGCCGAGTGGATCTCTGAGCTGGTCTGAGTGAGTGGAGGCGGGGCTAATTTGCATATCCATGGGTCCGCATATACTAAATGAAGCAAGGGTTTAGAGTTCATGCTGTTCTTGTGTTCTTGCTGAATAAAATAATTAATTTCTTTTCTAAAATAATCCTTCTGAGCTTACATGTGGTGATCTTTTTTTTATTTGTTTGTAGAAAAACAATGGAAGAAACAAGTTAGAGTAAAAATAACGAGGTTCTACTGATGGAAGTAGAAGCATGTGGGAATATTCTTTTAATCTATTCTGTTACTAACAAAAGCAAGAATGCAGATTGTGTTAGCCAGTTACAGCGGCGGACAATGCAGCTACTCTGTATCGTTGCAGAGAAGGGAATAAAAAGGGTTTAATCTTAATGTCACGTCCATAAAAAAGAAGAAGCATTGCACAGGAAGAGTGTAGGAGTCAGTAGTGGGCTCGGTCCTTTAGTGTCACTGGTCAGATGCCTGTTTGGCGTAGTGATTTTCATGTGACTGCTTAAAAGTCTCATATAATTAGCAGAAAGATTTCCCTTGGTCTTTTGAAATAGTTCATTGTATTCTGATTATGAAACTAAGCTGAAATGATGTCAATATAACGAAACAATACTGACCTGACATCCATGTTGCTCCCATTATGTAGTTTGTGTATTCATATTAAGATGGACTTTGCTCAGGAGGAGGTGTATAACAAGAGCTGAATGCCGCATTCAGAATTTTATAACTTAATTTACTTCTGCAAGTACAGTCCCTGCGTACCTTTTGAAGGTTCAGTGAGTTTGTAGCATGCGTGCAGGTTTTGAATTTGCGTTCCTGTGGCCCATTTTTCCCCTGCCTTTTTTATTGTTATGCAATGCCTGTCACTGTACGTTATCATCTCAGCACAAGTCCCCCGAATGAGTTCAGAAGAAATGAGCCACGGCATCTCTGTCCGCTTTTCCTCTTCCAACCCCCTTTATTTAACCTGGATCCAACTCGTCCTCACCCTTTTTCCTGCTCAGCTTGTACTGTATGGCACATTGGTTTTGAATTGTCATGCTCAGGACAGTAAGAAACCACACAGAACACCCTAACAGTGCTTAAAACACCATAGCAACCGGATAGC